AAGTGAAAGGAAAGAAGCTGGGATTTAAATCAACAGTTTGGAACATAAGGAAGAAATAAACATTCAAGCATAGCAGAATGAAGAAACAAGAATTCAAAAAAATGAGCAGAGTATAAGATGATTCTGGGACATCTCCAGAACTGCCAACATCAGAATCACAGGATGCCAGAAGGAGAAAAGGAAAAGCAAGAAACTGAAAACTTACTTGAAAAAATAACGAAAGAAAACTTCCCTAATTTGGCAAAGGAAATAGACATAGAAGTCCAGGAAGCACAGAGAGGCCCAAATAAGTTGGACCCAAAGAGGACCACACCAAGACACATCATAATTAAAATGCCAAAGGTTAAAGATAAATATTCTTAAAAGGAGCAAGAGAAAGGCAGAGAGTTACCTACAAAGGAGTTCCCGTAAAACCATCAGCTGATGTCTCAAAAGAAACCTTGCAGGCAAGAAGGGACTGGAAAGAAGTATTCAAAGTCATGAAAGGCAAGGACCTCTACATCCAAGACTACTCAATCCAGTAAAGCTATCATTTAGAATGGAAGGACAGATAAAGTGCTTCCCAGACAAGGAAAAGCTAAAGGAGTTCATTATCAGTAAACTGTTATTATATGAAATGTTAAAGGGATTTATCTAAGAAAAAGATCAAAATTATAAACAGTAAAATGACAAATTCACAACTATCAACAACTGAATCTAAAGAACAAAAACTAGGCAAACAACTAGAACAGGAAGAAAAAATCATAGAAATAGAGATCACAGGGAAGGTTATCAGTGGGGCAGGGGAAGAATATGAGAAAAGGTACAGGGATTAAGAAGCATAATCAGTAGGTACAAAATAGACAGGGGGAAGTTAAGAATAGCATAGGAAATGGAGAAGCCAAAGAACTCATATGCACAACCCACGGACATGAACTAAAGGAGAGGGAATGCTGGAGGGGGGCGAAATGCTGGAGGGAAGGGGGTACCAGGTGGAGGGGGACAAAGGGGGAAAACCTGGGACAACTGTAATAGCATAACCAATAAAATATACCTTAAAAATGTATTTGTAGACAAATGGGAAAACAGAACAGAAAAGTTTAAACAACTGAAATCATCTTCCTACCTAAGAGAATTACAAAGAAAGTTTGAAAGAAATAAGTATATTCAGTTTTTAAAAAAGAGGAAGAAGAAAGAAAGAGGGAAAAAAGCAGAAGTAGCAATATTTATATAGGCCAAAAGTGATGAAATGAGATTAAAAGGATGCTGAGTAATGATAATCTCTAAAATGTAATAGCCATAAACCTTCACATATAAGCAATATAGCAATAAAATACATGAAGCAAAAATTCTTAAAGGCAATAGGAGAGCTTGATAAAACCAAAACTATTCCTGAAGATTCAATACACCTCTATCAGAACTCAAGTAGATATAAACAAAAATATAGAGGATCTGAGTAATAAAATCTAATATATATGTAATTGCATATAAGACAAGTTGCTCAGTCTTTCTGTTTGCTATAAAATGGCAATAAGTAATAACACCTAACTCATAGGGTTGTGGTGAAGATTAAATGATAGTTCCTATAAAGAGTACTTGCCATATATGACATCCTCAATAAATCTTAGTTATTTAACTCTACCTTCCACATTCTTCTCTCAGGTTTAAGGTACACTATAAATTTTCCAGATGATAATATTATAGAACTGTACACCTGAAACCTATATAATCAATGTCACCCAATAAAATCAGCAAAAATTTAAAAAATTCTTTAAAAGAATTTACTTTTGTAAATTCTCCCACCTAAAACATTTTTTCCCACCCTGGCTGGTGTAGCTCAGTGTATTGAATGCAGGCCTGTGAACCAAAGAATCCCAGTTCGATTCCCAGTCAGGGCACATGCCTGGGTTGCAGGCCAGTTCCCAGCAGGGGATGCATGGATGCATGAGAGGCAACCATACACTGATGTTTCTCTCCCTCCTTCCCTTCCCCTCTAAAGATAAGTAAGTAAAATCTTAAAAAAAAAATTTTCCCCAAGATACTATTGCCTATAACCCAATAAACTGGAAATATACAATAAAAAGTTAACCACATGTACATTAAGAAGCTTTTAATAAACACTAAAATAAAAGCCAAACTCACAAATTATCTAGAAACTAACAAAATGGAGAATACTGGATAACAACATCAGATACAGCAAAAGGAGAACTCAGAGAATAAATATGTCAAGGTTGTAGGTTTGATCCCTAGTCAGGGCCCATATTTTCCTACAGGACCCAACCAATGAATGCATAAATAAGTGCAACAACAAATGGATGAGTTTTTTTCCTCTCTCTCTCTCCCTCTCTCAAGTCAGTAAATAAATTAAAAAAAAAAAAAAGCTACAAGGCCAGCCTGCATACCAGAGCTGCAATTCTGATTCCCAGTCAGGGCAACTGCCTGGGTTGCAGGCCAGGTTCCCTGCTTGAGGGCATGCAAGAGGCAGCAGATCAATGTGTCTCTTGCACACTGGTGTTTCTCTTCTTTTTCAAAAAATTCGTAAGTTTTTTAATTTACCTTTACTTTTACCAAGAAGATAATACTGACAGTCAATGGTGCATGTTGAGCTGTTTTTCTAAAGAGTGGTAGTTCGAAACCTTATTCCTTCTCTTGTAACCAAAGGCAGATGGGAGACATCTTAAGGTGAGTGAGATTTCCTGTGCCACCTACACTGGCATTTAGAGGGTTTCTCTAACAAACTGGGCCACATTTACTCTACAGTTAAAAACACTATTTAAAATTCATCTTAAATCCCTTTAAAATCCTATTAAAGATTTAAGATTAATTTTATATCCATTTTAAGTGTTTAAAAATCCTTTTAAGACTTAAAACCCAAACTTTAAGAAAAGTTTCTTAATTTCCCTCTGGGCAAACCTCCCTTGCATCATTCCTAGCTATACTGCCTTTATCACATCAAGGACTACTTGCAGTTTTTATTGGTCTCCGCATTTTGAAAAAGAGTAAGCGAGGACCAGCAACTCCATGCATCCTTTCCTCTATGAAAACCATGCATGACCCTGGCCAGTGTGGCTCAGTTAGTTGGAGCATGGTCCCAAAAGGTCGAGGATTATCTCGTATCTGGGCAATGCTCTAACCAACTAAGCTACCTGACCAGGGCAGGAATTTTTTAAGTGTACTCTTCATTCTCTGTAATCTAAGCAGCTCTTCAACCACAATGTTATGCATGTAATTATCCACTTCTTCTACAATAAAGTTCAAGGATTTTAAAAGAAAAACAAATATTGCCCTGTCTGGTGTGGCTCACTGGATTGCATGCTGACCTGCAAACCAAAAGGTCGCCCTTTCAACTCCCAGTCAGGGCACATGCCTGGGTTGCAGGCCAGGTCCCCAGTAGGGGGCGTGCTAGAGGCAACCGGTAGATCTATCTCTTGCACACTGATATTTCTCTCTCCCTTCCCTTCCTCTGTTTATAATGTAAATAAATAAAATCTCTAAAAAATATATTAACTCAGGATTCCATTCCACGAGCATTTATAAGACTTCTGTTCAGGTAAAAATGGAGTTGAAAACAAAAAACTTGTAATTTAGTTGCAGCCACAATACCCACACATGGAAAAAAACATTCATAAAACACACAAAAGCCTGGAAGTTTAGTGCAAGGGAAGGTTCTACTGGTTCTTACTATTGCACAACTCCCATTGAAGATGTTTAATTCATTCTACCAACTTAGATGATGAGTTTTAAACTAAGAATAAGAAAATGGGTACTTTTCTTTTTTAATATTCATTCATTCATGTTCCTTCTCCCTAGCTCTGTCCCTAGCTGGCTCTCTGGCGGAGGGATGCCCAGCAGAAGAAAAAATGCTGAAAGAGAAGTGCTACGCTGAACCGACCAGGCAAACTGAGAACTGACTGGGAAAGTGAAAACTGAGTTAGTGATGACCCCAAGAAGGTGCTTAGCCACTTACCCAGAGATTTATTTAATGGCAATGGATCTCAGGTTTCCACAAGCCGTTCCACTGCCAGTGAGAAGACAGTCGTGAACCTTGGGTCCCTTTTTTCACTAGTCAAGAGTCACCCTCACCTACACACGGAGTACATAGTTGGCACTCAGAAAATCTGGATCGCAAGAAAACCTACCTGACTCATACTGGTACCCAACCCCGCAGTTATGAACCCAAAATTATCTCCAAAAACCTTCAGAACTCAATCCAAAGAACTGAGAAAGTAGAGACCAGAGTTCTGGGATCTTAGTAAAGACTGGGTAAAATCAGGGGTCGAGGTCACCTACACCAACGCGACTTCGCAAAAAAAGCTCAGGGGACCTAACTGCAGTTAGTCCGCTTCAGCTTCCCAAGGAGGGACGCGACAGGCCGCAGATCCATAGCCTCCCACCCGGGGGCGCTGAGATATCTGGGGGTACCCCTCTAAAGTTAGTACCTGCAAAGCTGCGACCCAAAGAGTGGCTCGGGGCTCTCATTACGGTGGCCGGGGCCTGGGGCCGGCCAGCTGCGCCTCCCGGCAGAGGGCTCCGCGCTCCGGGGCAACACTGCTAGCCCGGGTCGCAGACAGACACCGTCTCGCGCCTCAGGAGGCTCTTGGTTCTCAGGCCCCCAAGTATTCGCTCTAAAGACTGAGTGAGTTGGCGCACTCACGTCGACCGGAGCTCTTTAAAGCTCAAGCAGTCACTCTTGCCTCAAGCCCAGCAGCCGGTCGCTTCCCGGCGCCGCCATCGTTAGTGTTTGTTTTCATCCGCTAGGGTGAAGGAGGGGGAGGAAGAGGGCTACGGAGGAAATACATCTGTGTAACCTCCGCAGCACTTTCGCTACATACAAATATCCTGGTTAATCTCTTTCCTCTTCGAAATTCCCATAAAAGTTATTTTCCTTTCTATAGGTCTTTATGGTCAATATTTCCAAGCGTCTCGGAAGAAAATAAAAGCGTAAAGGACGGGGTCTTTGAAAGAGCGAGGACGTTTAGGCCGCATGAGGAATATGCAGTTGCGAACTGTAAGTCACCGCGGCTGCGGCAGCCTGGCCGCCGCGTGGGCGCCGTGGCGGACTGTGAGCGACTGCTGGCCTAGGAAGAGGGCCGGACCAGGCTGGGTGGGTGGGGACTTGTGCTGGTAACCTGGCAGCGGTCGAGAGGTGGGTGACAGACTTTAACTGGACTTTGAGAGTGGCCGGCGCGATCCGATTTAGGGAATGTTCCGTGTTCCGTATTTTTAAGGCGCCTCTTAAAAGCGGCAGCGCCGCTTCTCAACTCTAGCTCTCTTAACGTCTTATTACGCACCTTCACTGTAACTTGTTTGCTCTTCTCTACTTCCTAACCTTCCGCCTCATTATTGTGAGAGCACACAATCCAAGTCCATCAGCCTGGGTCGTGGGTGGTTTTTCCCCCTTCTCCCTTGTTAGACAGGTTTGAGCGCGCGCACAAACACGCACACCCATCGTCCCTTTCAGGTGGTACCAGAGGCTTTAGGTAATGAAACCCGCCATGACTAATCCCTGCTCTGTGTAGTTCCGATTTATGTCAGCTGTTTCTGTGGCCTGTATAGTTAGGTGCAGGCCTCTTTTACCTTGTGGATAATTATGCCACCTCCTCCATTAATCTTTTGCTCCTCCCAGTTCAAATGCTGGGCATTAAATGAGTCACTGAAATTCAACTCCCATTATCCTTGAAACCAAAACAAAGACTGCCAGCCATGAGTTAGTGGAGGAAAACCCAGAGTTAAAGTATAGCACCTTTTGCTTGAACAAAATGGAAATTTGAGAAAAGGGAGCTATTGTAGCCTTTGAATCACTTTAAAAGTCTTTGGTAGGTTTCTAATTTTTTTTCTTTTAACCTTTACAGAAAGAAGATTATAAATGTCAGAGCCATTTAACTGATGGTTAACTGTTGCATTCTGACACTTCTTTAAATACCTTCTTGCACCAACCTCTTCACTGGGAAGATTTCAGGAAAAGTAGCAGAGGGAAAGAGTCAACATTTACATGTACCATGGCTATACCAATAACGGTGCTTGACTGTGATCTCTTACTGTATGGCCGAGGTCACCGAACGTTGGATCGTTTTAAGCTTGATGATGTCACTGATGACTATTTGATGTCCATGTATGGTTTTCCTCGACAGTTCATTTATTACTTGGTGGAGCTCTTGGGAGCCAGTCTTTCTAGACCCACCCAGAGATCCAGGGCTATTAGCCCAGAGACACAGATCCTTGCAGCACTGGGCTTTTATACTTCAGGTTCCTTCCAGACCCGGATGGGAGATGCTATTGGAATCAGTCAGGCATCAATGAGTCGATGTGTTGCCAATGTCACTGAAGCACTTGTGGAAAGAGCCTCACAGTTCATTCGTTTTCCAGCTGATGAGGCATCCATTCAGGCTCTGAAGGATGAATTCTATGGGTTGGCTGGGATGCCAGGGGTAATAGGAGTGGTTGACTGTATCCATGTGGCAATCAAGGCACCAAATGCTGAAGATCTCTCCTATGTGAACCGTAAAGGTCTGCATTCTTTAAACTGCCTGATGGTGTGCGATATCAGAGGGGCATTAATGGCTGTGGAGACGAACTGGCCAGGCAGTCTACAGGACTGTGCGGTGCTGCAGCAGTCTTCCCTTAGTAGTCAGTTTGAAGCTGGGATGCACAAAGACAGCTGGCTGCTTGGTAAGTTTGCAGGTGGAAATGCTTCATTTTGTAGCCATGGAATTATGTAGCAGAGTAAATGATATATGGAAGTCTATAGACTTAAGTCTCAGTCCCAGCCTTTTTTTGAGACCTCAAGGTGAGAACTCTTTGAGCCTTAATTTTTAAAAGTCACCATTTAAGGACACGTATTAAAGTTTTAAGAGCGTATTATTTGACCCAGATCTTCCACCTGTGAGAGATTACATGGAGGTGCATGTGCATAGATAGGAATGTTGGTGTTGTGTAACAAAATTACATAATAAGAATTTGCATTGCAGTAGTGTTTTGTAGTTGCAAACAACTAGCCTGCAAAAACAGTCCCTTAAATGCAGCCAAAATACTTATCAGTACAGATCTTGTTAAATAGCCATACAGTCTAGACTTAGTTTTTTATCATCTATACAAGGGTGAAAATAATGTCAACAGCAGTAATACCTACTGTTAGGCAATAAAGTATTGTACAAATATATTATTTTTACCATTGGTGATTGTCAGTATACTTACATGAAAATGATAGTAGATAGTGCGCTTACACAGGTGTTACAGGAACTTCACGGATCTGTCCCAGTGCCATTGGAAAGCTGGCGTAGTGATATGAGTAGGACCAGACCCATTCAGCATTGGATAGTACAAACTGAAGGGACTGTATAGGTGTGAGGGATAGTGATAAAACCCTTAAGGCTGGTAGCTTTGGTTGGCGGGTTGGGTTTTTTTTCTTTTTTGACTCTGATGGGACCAACAAGACAAGAGCTATCTTATATACAACATAAATGAGAGACAAAAAGATACATTTAGGATTTGAAGACATCTCTTTAGAAACCAATGCTCATGTCCATATCTGCACTGTGCCTGTTCATAACACAGTGTTTAATATATAATAGACAACATTTATTTCTCTCTAATGTATTTTGTTTCTCTTTAATGAATTTACTGTTTCATAAAAGAGAAACCTCTCCTGTTCCAAGTGGGAAGAGACTGCTGTCACACTGAGTGGTTTAGAGCTGCCAGGGTACCATGAGTCACATCTTGGAACTTGGTGATTTTTCTTGAGCTGCCGTTTCTGCATACTGTTTGCAGTGAGTGTACCACCTTCTCCTTCTTGTTTACTGGACCTTTATCTTAATCCCATTGTGTGCCTACTTTGAACTTTCAAATATCATATAACACACCAAAAAGTTACGGAAAGTCTGTTTTGCAAGTGTTCCATCTTGCAAAAAGATGGAACAACTGTGGGAGTACTTTGGTTCCAAGCTCATTTCATACGGAATTACTTTGGTACCCTAACTATAAAGCCAGGTAAAATTTACTGAGCATTTAAAATTTGTCAGGTAGGGTTGTAAGCACTTTGCATTGGATTATCTCACTTAATCCTTATAAAAACTCATTAGGAGTTAAATACTAATAATAGTAACATTTTTTACAGATGAGAAAATTAAGGCACAGATTGTTTAAGTCACTGTGTTTAAATTTTAAAACTAGATTATATGACTCCCCAGGCCCCACCTCAGAACTGTGAAATGAATGTCTGTTGTTTAAAACCAATAACAACAAAAACTAGATTGTATGAGGAATTACTCTATTTGGCAATTATTCCTTTAATCTATTACTCCTTTTTTTAAGGACTTCAAGGTCATGTAGGAATTACTGATTTTCTTTCCATTCATATCTTGGGACCCCAGACTGGGTTGGAATTATGGCTTGAAAGTAGGTTAAAACATTTTTTTAAATTGTTTTATTTATTTTTAGAGAGGGGAAAGGAGAGAGAAAGACAGGGAGAGAAGCATCAAAGATGTGGTTGCTTCTCGTGTGCCCCCTACTGGGGACCTGGCCTGCAACCCAGGCATGTATTTTAGATTGGGAATCGAACTTGTGATCCTTCGGTTCTCAGGCCAGTGCTCAATCCACTGAGCCACACCAGCCAGGGCTTAAAGTAGTTTTTTGATTTGTTCACAGGAGAGTTGAAAATAAATAAAAACTCTGACAAGTTTTTATGTATTTTTTTTGATTCGTGTCTTCATAGGAAGGGTGGAAGTGTGAGAGATGGGTATTCCAACAATATTTAACAAATGTTTATGAAGGCTGGTTTTAGTACCAGGCCACATGCCAGGCACTAAGGATGGGGAAAGTAGACCCATGTAGAAATTGATTCCCTCAGTACTAGCAGTTCTGGGGGAACTGATACATACACTCCTTGGAAAGCCAGCTCTAATAGTAAAACTAGTTTGAAGACCCCTGAACTACTGTAATGTTTCCCAAATTTTCCCAAGTCATCGGGGGATTTATTAAAAGTTATATCACTGAACCCCACCTTAAACTTTGAGAATGAGAATATACAAGGAAAGAATCTAGACATCCAATTTTAATAGGTATCCTGACGGATTCGTGCTTAATGGATTCATACACACAGACACGTTTGGAGATCACTGGTGTCTAGAGCATATGTACACAGTGAGGTGGTGTGGAGGTAGATTGGCAGGATTATGAGCAATGTCAAGATGCTTAAAAAAAGATGGCTAGCTTATTATATCTTAACACCATCAGATTTATGAAATAGATCTAGATTTGCCAAATCTGAAATTAGCTCAGATTCTCCTTTGTTTCCTGTTTTTTTTTAAAGAGATTTTCACCATTGGTGTTATTCCTTCATGTCCTTATTCTCATCTGTCCCTTCAGAGTGCATTACCTAATTCCCCTTTTCTAAATGTGTGCGTTCCTGCAAAAAAGTCAGCCCAAGTTCTTATTTCTTCAGCTTTTGGCCTAGTGCTATTAAGCAGTTTTGGTGAGACCTGCCATAATGTCTTGTGGATGACTGATTGATCATGGACAATTGTAATCTGTTCACTTCTGATCCTAATCCCCTCCTGAGCATCAAACTTGCCTTCCAGTGGTACTTGGATTATAACCAGTTAATGACTATTGAGCATTTTATGAAAAGCCTACATTAACTAGTTTGTCCTGTATGTCTCCCCATTTAATCCTCATACTGTTTTTTTAAAATATATTTTATTGATTATGCTTTTACAGTTGTCCCATTTTTTTCTCCCCTTTATTCCCCTCCACCCTGTATCCTCTTCCCACCATCATTCCTCTACCTTAGTTCCTGTCCAAGGCTCATACTGTTTCTCACAGAAACATTTAACAAATATCGTTTAGCATCATCATGCTTTGGCATTCATCTTAAATGTTTATCTTATTCTCTTTTATTGAATTACACTATTGATTTAGTGACACTGAGTCTGACATTAGCATCAGTGACTGGCTTCTCCTTTCTAACATATCAAATGATGGTTGACGCATATTTTGATCTCATTTGTAAAATGAGTTTAATATTATCTAATCTGGCAGAGTTGGGATTAGATAACAAAAGATAATCTTTTGTAGGGGCATTGGAGAGCTTGCTTCCCTGCAAGTCATCGGTTTGGCTCAAATAAACTGATAAAAAAATTTTTTAAAAGGAGATAATATTTTAGAATTGCCTAGCAGAGTGCTTTCTACATAATAGCTATTCATTGAGTCACAGATATTATTTTCATTATTATTTACATCAGTTTCTTAAAAAAAAAGATTTTCTTTATTTGTTTTTAGAGAGATGGGAAGGGAGGGAGAAAGAAGAGAGAAATATTGGTGTGCAAGAGATACATCGATTGGTTGACCTGGCCTGCATCCCAGGTGTGTGCCCTAACTAGGAACCAAACCAGAGACCTTTCCGTTCGCAGGCTGGTGGTGCTCAATGCACTGAGCCACACCAGCAGAGCAACATCAGTTTCTTAAATTCAGTATTTGGTTGTGGGGGGGGGCTCCGCCTGCAGGGTCCCCCTCTCCCCCTCCTCCCCCCACCCCCCAGCTACCACAGATGAGAATAAGTTTACCAAGACATGATCTACCTGGGAAGGAAAGGACTTTTACTGGGTTTATTTGCATAGGAATACAGGGTTTATATGTAAAGCTCATCGCATCTTTGTCAGGTAGTAAGGTCAAACATTCAAAGATAACATTCAAAGAACTCTCAGGGCTTATACTGAGTCAGGGTCAGATAGTTAAAGGGCCATAAAACTTTGGGGAACAAACTCACTTCCTGCTTGGACTCTTTTCATTTAAATTGAGGGTATTAGCAAAGTAGGCTTCATAGAATTTTATGCATTCTTTCTTAGGCCTGATTGCCTTCGGGAACCCACCCTTTCCAGCACAGGGCCACACCCACCTCCAGCATTGTTTCAAACTCAAGGCATTGTTTCGGGCTTAAGTCAGGCAGGGGAAGTAAGGCAGCCAAGAGATTAGGAGACTTCTTGTAGACAGAATGAGGACTCAGGCTATGTCAAAGCCGGGAGCAAGGGTCCATCAGCCCCTTTTTCTATAGCCCCCCAAGTCCTTCCCTGAAGACCCCTTTGCAACCATACCTGTCTTAGTTCAACCCTCCTTTGAGGAATCTTACCCGTCATTGGCAAACTAGTCATCCGCCTGGGGCCAAGCAGGGTGAGATGAAAGTGGGTAGAGGTGGTGCCCCTACAAGGAAGATAAGCTTTGCCTCCTGAGTGGCTTATGGTCCCAGGGTCTTTCTACTCAGCCTTAACCAGGCAGGATTACAGCTTCTGAAACCAGGCAAGGCGGTTCCCAACATTTAGTTAAGGTGAGTTCAATTTAAATAGGTTGTACTTAGGACAAATAGAAAAAAAGCCAGCCAAATATAAAATCTGAAAATCTTGTGAGACTTCTTAGATATTTAACACAATGTATGTCAATTGTATCTCAATTTTAAAAATTTAATTACAAAAAAAATTGGTTTTAATTTTATTTATTTATTTTAGATAGAGGTAAAAGAGGGAGAGAAATATCAATGTGTGGTTGCCTTTCACATGCTCCCTCACTTGGGAACCTGCCCAGACATGTGCCCCAACCAGGAATCGAACCAGCGACCCCTTGGCTTACAGGTCAGCATTCAGTCCACTGAGCCACACCAGCCAGCGCTACAACAAATATTTTTAAAAATAAAGTTAATTACCCTGACTCCTATGGCTCAGTTGTTTGGGTGTTGTTCCGGAAAGTGAAAGGTTGCTGGTTCTAGTCTCGATCAGGGTCAGGGCAAAGGCCTGGGTTGTGGGCCTAGTCCCCCATTGGTGCATTTAAGAGGCAGCCAAATGATATTTCTCTCTCTATTTTTCCCTCTCTCTAAAAATAAATAAAATCTTTCAAAAAATAAAAAATAAAGTTAATCCAGTTCTTTAAAATGTAAGCTCCAAAAGTAAAGGAGTACTATGTGTCTTGGAACAGTGCCTGGCACTCCCCATAACTATTTACTGAAATTGGTGGTGGGTCAGGAAGAGCAGTTGTGCAAGTTGGTACGCCGAGGGTCTGTTTGCCTCTCCGTCTGAGACATTTCATCTGCCAGACCAGTGAGTCAGGACAATGAAGCATTATAGAAACATTGTGTCAGGACATTGTATCCCAGTTTTTGTTTTATTTTTAGCACTTCCCAAGATCATTTGATAGGTCACTAAGGGAAATGCCTTGTGTGTATTATTTTAATCGACCTCTGATTTTATTTCCTTATCATTAGTAATATTTCCATCATTATTATAATTATGTTTTCCTTGTTCATGTAAAATTCTACCTGTTACAAAGGTGTTGTTCTAGTGAATGTCCTATCTAGGAAGGCAGGACACCTGAGTTCTGGCCTCTACCACGGGTGCTGGGACTTTTATTTTATTCTTCTTAGCACTAAGAAATGAATTATTATGAAATATTCTTGAGTTCCCCATTCAGACCTGACATTTTAGTGGTAAAGTTAGAAATTTTCTTCACAGTGTTTTGAGATCCCATGGCAGAATTCTTTGTTTCCCCTCTTAAGGGGAAAAAGAATCCCCTCAGCTTAAGGAAGAAAAGCTTCAGCTCTTGAACAATTTTGAAGATTGGTCTGCTGTGGGATAGTTTTCACTAACCTTTTATTATCAGGAAACCCAGGAATTTTATTTCCTTCGGTGCCTTCATTTCTTTCCTGCCTTTTTTCAGACTTGGCTTTCTTTAGCCATCAGCTTTTTTCCTCTCTTGGTTTTAACCCAGGATATCCGCAGCCAATACGCACGTCTGTCTACCTCCTGTGACTCTGGCAGCCTTTTCTTTACCAAAGCACTTCCCTCTTGGTTTTTCTGGTGCGCTCCGGCGCCAGAGGCTGTTGCATTTTCTTGTGCATTCTCTATGCGTGTTCCTTGATTTTCCTTTTTGTTTGGATTCCAATTGCAATCATTTATGATTTCTTTGGTACTTCCCTACAGGTGACAGTTCCTTCTCTCTCCATACCTGGCTCATGACCCCTCTTCACATTCATGAAACTCCAGCCGAATATCGCTATAATATGGCCCATTCTGCAACTCACAGTGTGATCGAGAAGACTTTCCGGACACTCTGTTCCCGGTTCCGCTGCCTGGATGGGTCCAAGGGGGCACTGCAATACTCACCAGAGAAGTCCAGCCACATCATCTCGGCTTGTTGTGTCCTCCACAACATCTCCCTGGAGCATGGGATGGATGTTTGGTCCTCTCCAACGACAGGACCCATGGAACAGCCCCCTGAGGAAGGGTATGAACACATGGAGTCCCTGGACCTGGAGGCTGACCGGATCCGCCAGGAGCTGGTGCTCACTCACTTTAGCTAATGTGAAAGGTGGGGAGGAGGAGGAAAACTTACCAGAAGGACCTGTGACAGACTTCCTCCCTCACTAACCCCTACACAGTTGTATCGTTTAGTATAACTGAGTGTGGACACTCATTAAATTGACATTTAATCTGCGTGTTTTTTTAGAAGAGTGGGGGCTATTCCAGAATATCTTGATTCATTTGCAATTTTATAACTCAACCAAAGCAGGACAACAGTTCTCTACTGTGCACTGAACTCCAGGTTGATCATCAGTCATTTGAAAGGTCATTTCTGCAGACATTTATGATTGTGTCTACAACATCAAGCAAAGAGGAAGCGGCATCTAGCCAGAACACTTCATTTTTGTTTCAATTCTCTGGAAATTTCAAATGAAAAGAATATTTACTTGTCCTGAATTATTCAGATGGTATTCTAGCTTTTCCACTTTGCTGCCAATATAGGCATAAACTGAGGCAAGTGTAAAAAGTAATTTTATATTGGAGAATGGTCCTCTGACATTGGCAAATGGCTACTAAGCTGAGTTTCTAGCTTTGTGTTTTTAAGAAGATGTTAGGTAGCCCTGGCTGGTGTAGCTCAGTGGATTGAGTGTGGGCCTGCGAACCAAACAACTGTGGTTTGATTCTGTGGTTCGATTCCTGGTCAGGGCACATGCCTGGGTTGCAGGCCAGTTCCTAGCAGGGGATGCACAAGAGGCAACCATACATTGATGTTTCTTTCCCTCTCTCCTTCCCTTCCTCTCTAAAGATAAATAAATAAAATCTAAGAAAAAAAGTACCAGGGGAAAAAAAAAAGATGTTAGGTACAGTGAAATCTGAAACCTTTATCTTTAGTCTTTCTGCATTAATTGGACTGTGACTTGGAGCTAGTTTTTGGGGAGAATATCTGGACTCCAATCTCCTATTTCCAGCCCTGAGTAGGAGTTAGAGGCTAAGTAGGTTAAGAACCCAATCAGCTTAAGGAAGAAAAGTCAGGTATGGGTAACTTAGCAGGCTTACACTTTACAGGGGATCTAAAGACCCTGATAAATTGATGGACAGAGGAGAGTTATCCAGGTTTTAACAGCTCACATCATAGATCACATTTCTTACAGTCATGATGTTAGAATGTCTGCTTGGCCATTCAGCTTTGAAATTCCTTGTACTGAAGGAAGATTTAGGGAATAAAGACATACGAAAGTATTAAGAAGGAGAGGTAAAAAGAACATAATTTTACTTGAAGTTAATTTTGAAGTTAGACCTACTTAAATATCTTGTATTCAGAGTAATGGACAGAATTTCCTAGGAAATAAATAATCCCCCACTACATCTTATTCTAAAATTATACTGATACAAAAATAACCTGATTGGAATAATAAAAGTGTAAATTAGGTTCACACATTGGTGCCTTTGCTAGGACAAAAAAAGAGACCTTCCTGAGGATTGTCTTGTTCCCAATTTTTCATCCACTCACCATGTGATACCTCTGAATTGTCCTCCTGGATCATTTCCTACCTGCTTTTGGCAGTGTTAATCTGGTAATGTTCAAAGTAAAGAAATGAGCAGCAGATGACAGAGAAACTTGGAAATAAATTGAGGGTGACTCATCCACAAGATTAAAAACAATTATGGATTATTATCTGCCATTTAATTCTACTCCAAATGCTATTTTTCCATCATCATCCTACACTATAAAGAGCAGGTCCATTTGGCAGGAGGCTGAGCTTGCAATGTACAATGAAGTCATTGAGATGGGAGTGGACAACAATGAGGTGACTGTACACTTTAGCTCTGCTCATTGTGCAATAGAGGTGCCCTGTTACATTTTTTCATTTGTAAAGTTTAATTGTAATCCAAGCTTGCTTTGTCTCCTTCATAAGGTAATATTTTAACTCTCACAGTCTTTCCAAGTTTCCTGAGGTGGATGTTTTAGCCTATGAAGTTTTGGTTCTGACTATTGCCCGAGGAAAGGGTTACAACCATCCATGCATCGTAAGTGGCAAGGTGGAGAGTAATCTTGGAAAGTGCCTAGCATTTTAGCCTTAAAAAACTACATTAAAGGAAAAATGGGGCTTTCACAACTCAATCGATGGTGACATGAAGTCTGAGTTGGAAAGACAGCCTTGGAGAGATTTCAAAAGCAATTTCAAGTCTTACATACCAAAGATAATTTCTGAGTGCTGAACTGACTGAACATTGCCGGGCAGTGTTTTTCCCTGGGAGCATTTTATTAGTATTTCCTATTAATTCTACAGAGTAACTATATAAATATATTCTTTTGATCTCCTTTCAATCTGGATTTTGACAGGCCAGGATTTTTTTGGTTCATAGTCACATGTTCCCCAAAATGACCTAGGGAAGGGATCAAGGTTTGTACTTCCAAATTGCTAAGAGCTTGCTCATAGAGGCTTTTTATGTAAGTGCCTGAGAAGTCTTCTCTTGAGGGCCTTATTGTGGATTCACAGTGTCTTCCTGGCACAGCTTTGGGAAAGAGTCAAGGATTTTGCTTGTCTTAATGTAAGCCTCATCTTCCCATAGATGACCATCGGGTCAACATAGGAGTTTTCCAGGTTTGCCTTTAGATGTTTCAAGACAGCAAAGTCTGAAGATACATTATGAGGAAACTACACTATTGGGTTGTCACTGGTTTGCCAATTCCAAATTACACAAAAGAGTGACCATAAACATATTTTTAGTTTAAAATGAGCAGAAAACTAAAAAAATACATATAAAGGAAAATAAATTAACAGCCTAAAGGAAGATCTTTTCCTGATCCTTGGACTGTAAGAATCTATAGCAAGTTAATCTAACCTAGGGACAAAAAAGAAGACACAATTTTAATGGCGTTGCACAGCGAAGACCTGTAAAGGGTGGGGAAGGGTAAAATGGAGGCTAGACAGATAATAGACCTATTATGATTGTATCCCTGACTGAAGCCATAAACAAACCAACTCCAGGACTGAGCTTCCCAGTCACTTTCCCTGGCAAAGGAGGAGAATTTAGGAGGAAGACCAGAAAATAAATCAATGAGTCTTACCCATTGTGCACATACATGTCCTCAGAGCCCATGGCACATGGTCACTAGATCCCATCAAATCTTATGAAGTTGCCCTGGCTGGCTCAGTGGATTGAGTACGGGCCTGCGAACCAGATGATCGCAGTTTGATTCCCAGTCAGGGCACATGCCTGGGTTGCAGGCCAGTTCCCAGTGGGGGACACATGAGAGGCAACCATACATTGATATTTCTCTCCTTCTCTCCTTCCCTTCCCCTCTAAAGATAAATAAATAAAATCTTTTAAAAAATCTTACGAAGTTGACTCAGAATTAAGCTAAGACTTTATTGATCGTAAGAATGGTCATGAAGGAAGAAAGGTAAAGTACTAACTGAAGGCTGGCACAACCCAGTTCCCCAGCATATACAATTCACAGGCTTTTTAAAAAGAAAATATGACTGCAATCTAAAATCCTCTTCGTGATAATCAAATATGAGAGATGAGATCTCTGGATAGTAAATAGGAGCAAGAAGAGTAGAAGTCAAAACCACAAGTTAGTAAATTTCAGTAAAAAAGTCTTTGAAAGGCAGCTCTACGTTCACCCAGCAAAACATTAAGCATCATTCTCTTGAGACTCACTCTAACCTTACATACACAGCTTTCTTCATGGAAGGACTGACATGTTGTCATTGTAGAGTTTTTCAATGTTCATGTGTTTTAATCCATCGGTAAATTCCACTGCTGGAAAGTTTACTTTGTATCTGAGTACTATTTATATACATCAAATAGTAGTGTAGTGTTTTAATGCTCTACACGTTTTGTTTTTTTTCCCCCCACCAGCATTGGAAATGTATTCAATATAAATAATTCCAAAGAAGGAAGAGCCTTTTTGGATCTCTCTCCTTCTCTGGGCTGCTGCTGTAGAACCACACTGCTTCTAACTTTACCATCCAGCCCAAAGTGTGTATATTATCCTACAGTGCTGTGAGACCAGGTTACAAAAGAACAGAATAAAACATCAAAAAAAAAAAAAAAAGAACAATAGAATTGCAACAGTAAAACCTAAACTGGCTCATCATTTTGGCTGCTTAAGGCTTAACTCTACTTCCTGGACTTCCTAATAAGAGGACTCATGGTACTGCTAGTTATCTTACGCTAGGTTTAGGCCTGATTTGTTTCTCAGAGCCCAAAGCCAAGGTAAAGATCAATATCCTTCCCTCACTGTTTTCCCGTCTCCACTCCATCTTACCTTCCAGAGGGTGGCTACCCAATACAATAATCAACACCATAATGGTGAATTATTGAGTCTTAACGCCAATTCGTAGGCAGTGCAGGTGCATCCCAGGATGATCTTTACTTCTGCCCACCAGTTTTTCTTTTTTCAGGTTGTCCTTCCTTCCTGTACGCTTGAGGGTTTCAACTGATCTCTTATGATCTCTTCTGTCCAATAGACTTTTCTATAAGAACAAGTGTACTGTCGTCACACTGAAGCTTAACCCACACTTGAAACAGTTCTCTAAATAAATTTACCTGAAGAGATGCAACTTTACCAGCAGAATAAGCCTAAACCACTTAAAAAAATTTTTTTTGATCCTCGCCCAAGGATATGGTCATTGATTTTACAGAGAAGAAGGGAGTAGAGAGAGAGAGAAAAAAAAAATTGATGTGACCAATCAGTTGCTTACTGAATGGGTCCCAGGGACCAAAACCACAATCTAAGTATTTGCCTTGACTGGGAATCGAACCCACACCCTTCTGGTGCACAGGATGACACTCCAACCAACTGGGCCACCCAGCCAGGGCCTGAAAGGAACTTATCGAAGATGTCAAAGTAACAAAACAGGAACCTAGTCCCTGGCACTGAATGGCCACACCTTACCCTGGGTTGTAATCTCTGGATTTCTTTTAAATGACAGAGAAAGAAATCCGTCATTATATATATACATATATATATATAGTCTGTCATATTATATATATATGAAATTGTCAGTTCATATATAGTTATATGTATACGAATTATCCCTTAAACATTTTCAGGAACCTAATAGAGGAGATTGTTTAAAAATAACAATAGACACTTTTTCCTTCTGGGAGCATGCTGTGTCTTTCCCTTTCCTCTCTTCTTCCACTAAGGTGTGCTTCCTCAGCCCTTCTCTCTCCTCAATTCCAAGGGCCTTTCTTTTGTTTCTCTAACTTGTTTCCTGAGCCTAGGGCAGCCCAGCTGGCTCACTTCTATCACCTCTGCAACTTGCTAAATACACATTCTCTTATAATTTGGAAAAAATAGCCAATAAATTATAACACTAATGTTATAATGTATTTCATTTTGATTGGGTTATAAACTCTTAAGGAACTATCTTGTTTTCTTTTTATGTCTTTACTCTCTCAGTCTCCTTCCTTCTTACGGGGAGGTGCAGTAAACTGTATTATTGCTAATGCTTGGTAATCAATATTTGTACTGATCTGACTGTACGATTTATTTGAATTGTACCTAGGGTGTACATATTAATCCATATTTGTTCCTAACATATTTGGTTGTTTACTAAGAGACCACAGAGAGGCCATTGTTGTGACGATGAAAATGCCAACACACTTTGGCAGGTTCTGAACCCAGAGACTCGATCATTATGTAAGAAACTTGTCTGTGGTTGTAGGCCGTTCGAAAAAAATAAAAGAGATAGGCAGTACAGGTGTTATTTTTTTCCTTTCCCCTGTCTTAAGCACTACACAACCCTGAATTTTCCCAGCTTCTCCTTGCTATGCTTATGAGATCTAAATTGGAGTTTTAATAGACTTTTCACTTTGTTCCTCAGTCTGGATTCTCTCTTTGTGCCTTTGTCATATGTATGCGTACACATACATACATCTGTAGCTATGTATCTATAAATTTTTTTTTTTTTACCTCACTGGTCCGTGAGGAAACTAAATATCAAATTTGCTCAATTGGGATAGTGTTGGGAGTCCGTAAGATAGTAGCTGAACAAGTGTTCAGACAAGTGTTACTGTGCTATGGACTGGATCTTCAACACTCTCAAGAAAAACTCCAATTCTCTAAACAGTTTAGCCGGCAACCGACACAGAAAATGGCAGAAGCACAGGTTTTCTTTACTCCTTGGCTTATGATCCATCTGGGTTTGTTTGTTTATGGCTTGGACAGGAGCCGGGCTTCGAGTAGAACCGAGATGTTTTTCGGCGCTCGACTGCAGTTCCTTGAACGACTGCGCGGGCGCTCCTCCTTTGATGTCTGGGACGTTCGTGTATTCGGTGATCTTTTGCGCCGTCTTCTCGCTTGATGTCTCCTCAGCGGCGGTGGCGCCGGGTCGAAGGCTGACTTATACCCGCGAGGCCCCGCGCTCGGGCTGCTTTCTCCCGCTGGTCGGTAGAGCGGACCCTCGCTTCCTTTCTGCCTCTACTTCCTGTTCGTGGCTCCGTCCCCTCGCTGGGCTGCAAACCGAGCCCCCGACCGCCTTGCAGGTAGGCCCGGGAGGAGCCTGGCAGGCCCGGCCCGGCATCCTTCCGCCGTCTGGCTGAGGAGACCTTGGCGCCGGCGGGTGGGCGGGCGGGTCGGCTGCGGAGACGCAGCCAGAGGAGGAGCTTCCCGGCTGCGTTCGGGGGCGCGGTCGGAGAGGCGG